CTTTACGCCTCCCCTCTTTACCCCTCCCCTCTTTACCCCTCCCCTCTGTACCCCTCCCCTCTCCCCTCTTTACCCCTCCCTTCTGACCCTCCCTCATCTCACCTCCTCCATCCCATCTCCCTCATCTGATCCCCTCCCTAATCACACGGCTCTCACCTTTTTACCCCCCTCTTTTTCTGTTTCCTCTTCCTATTCCTCCCACATCTCACCTCCCTCATCGTTTTTTTTTTTCGCTCTTTTCTTTCCGAAATCTTCCCTCCGTCATCTCGCCTCCCCATCTTACCTCCCCCATCTCACCGACCCTCCCTCACGTCCGCCATCTCACCATCTTCCTTTTGCCAGACACTCTTGCCCGTGATCATCCTTGTCGTTTCCTGATGATAATTGTCGTCGATCCTCAAATGCTCCATTGTCTGGTACTCCATCTTTATTTTCTTTCTTACCCTCTCCTCTTTCTTCCACTCGACATTCTTGTTCACGTCCAGGTCAACATGTCGTCCTTCTGGTTGGTGGCTAACCCATTTCTCCTCCTCGTTCTCCTCTCTTTCCTCCTCTTCCTCTTCCTCTTCCCTCTCCTCCTCTTCCTGTTGGTTTCTCATCTTCCTGGGTCTGTGGTCCGGTCGGAGCAACTAATCCGAGATTCTTTGACATAATTGCATTTTTCAATTTCCCGGAAAATAGATCTCTACGGATTTTGGCGAAATGTTTTTTGTTCGAATTTGTTGCATGCTTCTTGTGCAATCCTGCCCTGCCTCTCACCTGCTTTTTATGGCCGGCGCTCTTGTGTGAAGATATGTTCGAGAGGGTTTTCCTACACAGGTCTCTGTCTCCAAACATGACTTCATCCCCTGCAACTTCAGCACAGATGCGTTCTTGAAAGAGGAAATCGAATGCAGAGGCAGATGCACATGCAGGGGCAAAAGATGGGTGGAGTGGAGAGAGAGAGAGAGAGAGAGAGAGAGAGAGAGAGAGAGAGAGAGAGAGAGAGAGAGAGAGGGTGAAAGCATGACCAGTTATGGGAATTCGAGAGACGGTTAACGGGGGCCCAAATATTCGCCGTTTTCGTTGGCAATTGCGGTGCAAATTTCATCAAAATTTTTATAACAAACGATATGAGACCATAGTGCAAACATCAAAAAAGGAAACAGGCAAAAAAATACGAAAAAAAAAACAAAAGAACACTATGAAACCCTAACACAAAAACACTGTCGGAGTCAAAATGACGCGTCCAACGAATCCAACAATATGCCAACTTTTTCATTATTGATCCAAACATGTCAAAACTGCACACGTGACGTACCCTAAAGCACATATATACCACACAAAAAGAAAAACAAGAAAAAAAATAAAATATCAGCACAATATGACAGTTTCAGTGCAATTCGGTGCAAAATTCGTTGAAAATAACACCCCTGGTTAACCACGTGTGGGGAATTCAAATTGGTGTAGCAAGGTTTGTTCGGGTGCCGGGGCTCTGCCGTTTGCGTCGGAGTCGGGGCGTGAAGGGAACTAAAAGATAGATAGTTCGAGGTTATGTGAAAAACTGGGAGGACACGTTGCATAATGTGAAAATTTGAAAATTGAAAATTGAAAAGGCACGTTGCATGTAATAAATTTATAAATCCCATGTCGGCGATATCGGTAAAAAAATTGAAAGCACACGTTTCATGGACATCCCTTTTCGGCGGTAATGTAAAAAAATGAAAATTTTAAGGGCACGTTGCACGGGTAATCCCATTTTGGCCTGGTCTACCAGACCCGCACGTCCACGGCCGCCCGGCCGGGCAGCCGGACCAGTGCGACTTGGACCCTCTTGCCCGGGCCACCGGGTCGAGGAAAAAAAATAGTCAAAAGTGCCACTTTTTGTTTTCTCCCCCTGATGATGGGGCATTTTTGCGCACTCGGAGAGGGACCCAAATCCGGTCTTTTATTTTTTTTAGGTTCATGTCGTTTTGGAGAAGGGGGGGGGTGTAAGGGTTTTAGAGGGGCTTGAAAGGGGTTGAAAGACCTTTGAAGGGGGTGAGATGATTTTCCTCGCATTATTTTATTTTTATTTCAAATTCTGTGAAGACTTTGCAAGTGACCCTCAGCCAAAAGTTGTTTGGTTTGCTATTCTGCACAACATACTTTTTTTTTTTTTTTGGTGGGATATGGGCCGGGACCCCGCCCGGCCCAGTTTCCCGGGCGGGCGTCCCGGGCAGGTCCCGTGCAAGCTTTGGGGACCCGGACGGCACGGCTGGTAGCCCAGATTTTGGCAATAATGTGAGAAAAGAAGAAAAATGGAGGCATATGCTGCATGGATAATCCCATTGTGGCAATAATGTGAAAAATTCAAAACTCACCAACTGCGCTCGCTCAGTGGGTACACCCATGGGCTGTTGCAATGCAGACCCGAGTTCGAGTCCAGATGCATGGATGATCCCATTTCGGCAATAATGTAAAAAATTGAAAATTCACGAACTGGCCTGGACAGAAAAATTGACAATGCAAAGTGCTACGTTGCATGGATAATCCCATGTCGGGGATTATGTGAAATAGTTCGGAGGGCACGTTGTATGGATAATACCCTCAGCATTTGGTTACCGTTTTTTTTTTTTTGAACGGGATTTACAGTCAATTTCCCTTATCGGAAGGGGTGAAGATGGGATCTACATGTCATAGGGCCTCGTCGCACTGCTCAGGAAATGTGCAAAATGTTCCCAGGGAAAAAAAAGTGCAAAATGGAGGATGCATCCTCGGCCAGAATCGCTGGTCGTATTAATAGCACACAGATAACAGTCCCGACACTTTGGCCAGTACATCCAGAATGATTTATGTTCGAGGACGAGAGGTTCAACTGAGCAGAAGGTTCCAGCCTGTGGTACGAACCAGGTTCATCCCAGAACCGGGTTCGGTTCACAACTGGGTCCTCTCCGGAACCAGGTTCGTTCCAGGACCCGGTTCGGTTCAAAATTGGGTGCTCTGCAGAACCAGGTTCGGTTCCTCTCCAGAACCAGGCTCGGTTCCTCTCCAGAACCAGGTTCGTTCCAGGACCAGGTCCTTTCAGACCAAATTCGTTCCAGGACTGGGTGCCTTGTAGGACCAGGTTCGTTCCCGTACCGGGTCCTTTTCAGTAGCAGGCTCGTGCTAAATTAGCAAACAAGAGCACGGGTGTGGAAAAGCCTTCAGGAATGGGTGTTCGATAGTGATGCCTGGGGAAGGTGGTGCTGGATTAAGTTGGGAATTGGGGAGGTGGAATGGGTGTTCGCAACTGTTTATGCTCTGAACGAATCAGGTGAAAGAGCACGTTTCTTTGAATTACTCCCCTACATCATTCCAAACCACAGCAACCTTATGGTTGCTGGGGACTGGAATGTGGTAAGATGCCCGGGGCTAGATTCGGAGTCGGATGAGGGGATGACGGTAGATAGAAGGGATTTGCTGAAGTGGATGGAAGCTTGGCAGTTGAGGGACGTCTACTGCGACATTCACCCTCTGGAGAATGGGTACACATGGATCGGTCGATCAGTGCAGTTGGCTGGGGTACAGAGGCGTCTGGACTACTTCCTGGTTTCAGACCTGGCTTCGAGTGACGTTATTCAAGTCAGGGAGCAAAATGAGTTCCTATCCGATCATAAACCAGTGGTGTTTCAATGACACAGCGTCTACAGAAAGCGGAGGGCCGGGCTGCTTCCGGCTCAATACGGAGTTGCTCTCAGATGAAGGCCTTAGTACTTGGGTGAGGAGCTTTTGGGAAGATTGGCAAAGTGCCAAGACTTATTTTGAAGCACTAGCTGAATGGGTGGATGCTGGCCTGCGTATCATCTCGGCCAGACTGGATGTATTCTCCCAGATTGCAGCATACGGCACAAGTGGTTAACGGGGACTCCCACTTTTCGGCCCTGGGTAACGATGAATGGTCCTGAAATTAGGGTTTCGGGGTCAAATTTTGTGTTTTTTTGGAATTTTTGTGTTTTTGCCTGTTTTTGTTTTAGGACAAGCTTGCTGTGTGTCAAATTTGGTGTCATTTGGGTTATTAGAATTTGTGCTGTTAATCATCCTGAAAATCCTGAAATTTTGATGAAGTTCGTTTTTTGGCAAAATTGCCTGAAAATGCACTTTTGAGTTGCTGTTTTATGTGTTTTTAATTATTTTTTTTTGCTATTTTTTTAATAATATGTTAGTAAGAAGTGCACTCTAAAGATTGGTGTGAAATTTGCTTGGGATGGCCTTATGGTTTTCTTATAAATAGAGGTGAAAAATGGGGGGTCGGTTAACCTTTTCTCACTTCGCTGCGGTCTCCCTTTTTGAAGAAGAGGGAAATGACCCCCCTGGTCATAGAATGTCCCAGTCTACCGCCTGTCAGGATCTCGTTGAACATGACTACTAGGTCCTCGGCCAGCGTTTGCCAGCAACAGGCGAAAAATTCGACCGGCAGTCCATCATCGCCAGGCGCCTTCCCCAGTGCCATGTCCTTCACTGTACCTCTTAGCTCCTCCGCCGTTATCGGTCTGTCCATCCACTGCTTGTCTTGTTCAGAGATCCTTACTTAGAAATTGTTCCACAGTGACGACAGTTGTGACATGTCATCGTCCAAACCGTCCCTGGGACGTCTGGTTTTCGTGATATCAGCGAAGTACGAGAAAAGGTTAACCGACCCCCCATTTTTCACGAAGTAAGAAACTGGAGGCCTATCTCCTTACTAAATGTGGTATACAAGCTTCTGGCCAAAACACTGGCAACAAGGCTCAGCAACCTGCTACCCGGGTTAGTCAGGAGGGACCAAGGAGCTTTTGTCAAGGGCCGCTCTATATTTGAGAATGTAGTCACGGCCATTGAAGCCTCGAGCGTATTGAAAGGGAAGATGCAGATGTGGCAGTTCTCTTGCTGGACCTTGAGAAGGCTTACGACAGAGTCAATTGGACTTCTGTCTTGATAACACTGAGGGTAGCAGGATTGGAGAGCCATTCTGCAAGTGGGTAAAAGTCCTGTACGGATTCTCCTTGGCAATGACCTGCGTAAATGGGGTTATCTTGCAGGAGTTCAAGTTGTCCAGAGCCTTGCGTCAGGGATGTCCCCTGGCTCCCCTCTTATTCGTGCTGCCCCTTGAACCTCTCCTCTGTAACATCAGAGCCCATCCGGAGATAGTTGGGATCAAGTTACCAAATGGGAACGAATGTAGGGTGAAGGGGCTGGCAGACGACCTGTTTGCCATTTCAAGCAATGAGAGGCCCTCTTTGGAGGCGTTGAAGGGATGTCTCAGAGACTTCACGGAACTGTCGGAGGCCGCTGTCAATTGGTCTAAGTCCACTTTCTTCCTTCCTAAACAATATCCGATGACGGTGCAGTGGGGCATGGATAGAGTACCAGTGGATACAGCGGAGCGGTTCCTAGGAGTACAGGTGGCATTGGACTGTTCGTCCTCGCAAGAAGCTCTGCTGCAGGAAAGGCTTAAGGCAAGGGTGAGTAGTTGGGGGAAAGCAAGACACCTCTCCCTGATTGGGCGGGCCTTAGCGGTTATGGCGTCAGCCTTTGCTCTGCTGTGGTACGTTGCGGTGATCAGGAAGTTCTCTCCAACCCTCCTCAAAGCAGTCAAGGCGGTAGCCAGGCGCTTCATTTGGAAGCCAGAAGGTGATCCAACACGGGGTGTTATCTCGAAAGTGGCATGGCACACGATATGTGCTCCCAGAGAGGAGGGGGGTTTGTCGCTGGTAGACCCAGGGTCTCAGAACAGCTACCTGCTAGCTCGATGGATAGTTAGAATTGCAGAAGCGGAGGAGGTGGGAGACTGGATACTGCTGGCCGAAGCTCTGCTGGCCTCGGATTGGAAGTTGGCCAGGCCTTCTGACGTTTGGGTGGTTATTATGACGAAAACCTTTGCAGGTAAACGTCCTAACTCTAGATTTTGGAGGGACGTCTTGGCGGCATGGAAACATGCAAGGCCAACAGAAAGGGCTGCCCCTAAATCGAAGGAGGATGTGAAACGCCAGCCGCTCTTCGAAAATCAGTGGATAACAGACGACGAAGGCGCCCCCTTTTCGCTGGAAAGGAAGCCAGGAGCTTTCGGACTAAGCTGGGTCCAGAAAGGTATCTCCTTGGTGGGAGACCTCTGGGATGCAGGCACGAACCAGTAGAGATCAGACGCACACCTCAGGGAGGTGTTGGGACAGCTCCCCTTGAAAGAAGAACGCGCACAGAAGCTTAGAGCAGCTATCCCCGAAGAATGGCAGCGTCTGCTGGGTCCGGCAGGGATTGATCCGCCAGGGACATGGTACAAATGGGACAATGGCGAGGAAGAGTGGTACTGCAGACTCGAAAGCTGTTTGAGGATGGGTCAGGCCGCTGCTGGTTGGAGACGTACAAACGGCTGAAGGCTTTTCCCCCCACACTACAGAGAGAGGGGATGCACTTCCAGTATGGACTGAGGAACTTAGCGGAAGTGAGGGTCAGATTGCAGGAGCCTGAGCAGAGAGGCCTCCCAATGGTCCCGCAGTTGGTTGCAAACGGGACTCCATTAAAAGACCTGAGGATTGACGGTGCAGCATGGGGATGGAGGATTAATGAGGTGCTGGTCACAAGACTGGAAAATCTCAACGCAAGATTAATCTCGAAGAAGAACGGGGGAAGCCTTTCCAACACGGAGATTGTACAGCATCGGTGGAGTAGGTCAGCTCCAACCTTGGCGTCCCCAATGGAGTTGGAGCTTACAGGCTGTGGACTCAGTTGAAACACATCCCCTCACAGAAACTGGCATCTCTTCTGTGGCTGCAATCTCACTTTGCAGTGCCAACCGCCCATTGGCTATCAGAACGTGGAATGGAAGTGGACACGGTATGCGATCGTTGCCACGTAGGGGTAGAGACAGCGAGTCACCTCTGGTGGGAGTGCACCAGGTCGAGAAAATGGTGGAGGTGGTGGGAGATGCACTGGAGGAGATTTGCAGGACAAGCAGGTTTCTCAGGGGAAAGGTGGGTCATGTTGTGCGCAGTCCCCCAGACAAGGAGTATATCAGAGGGATAGGGCTATGTGGCCCAGGTGGGACGCGCGATTATGCTGTGGGTCATTTGGTTGGATCGGAACAGTCTCCGATTTCAGGGGGAAGCGCTCTCAGAAACCCAGGCAGAAGCCACCTTCCTGTCATTACTGGCCACTGCAATTCAAGCAGACTTGACACGATGGGTGATGCAGGCAGACAGGCAGGAAGGGAGGCGCTGGTTCCAGAGAACCTGGGGCTTGGGCTTGGCCCACATTTCCCCAGAAGGAAAGATGGTCTTGGGTAATTGGCTTATAGGTGAACCAGGTGCACTCGGTTTCTGTTGGCAACCGCTGTGGGTTGCAAACGGGTAGGTTGGGAAGGGAGAGTGCCAGGGTGGGATGGAACATTGGGGTGTTCCGCTCGGTCAGTATTAGGCCGGGGACAGACCATGTTAGGTCTGTGTATTAGGAATAGGGTAGGAAAGCACTAGGGTAGTTAGAGACGAGTAGGTCGTTCAGGGTAGGACATAGTAGAAATTGTCACATTCGGGTCTTGGTTAGCAGGTTTGGAGTATGAAGATATTCATGAAAGTTGAGTTGTGTAAGGAAAGCTAAACTGGCTGATGCTGTTAGGGTAACTCCGGGTTGAATTGTGAGGTCCCCGGCCTCGAAGAAACTGCTCTTTGTTATAATGGAAATGTTGCATTAAAAAAAAAAAAAAAAAAAAAAAAAAAAGAGAAAAAAAAAAAAAAAAAAAAAAAGCCTTCAGGGCTGCTTGCCCACAGTGACGGCTCTCCGCTAGCAGGCAGTGTGTGTTCCTGGCCGGAGTACCGTACCCGTAACGACTAGTCTGCAGTACGGTCTGGTTGGGGACAATTGCTCTCGACTACCGGTAGCACGAGCCTGGTACAACTTGCGGGCAGGAGTATGCTTTATTTGCCTCGCAAGCGATTTCAAATTTTTGGCGGGCGCTGTGTGAAGAAACACTGTTTGATCATTCATCCTTCCTAGTCCTTTGGTGAGGCTTCCTGTGTTGTGTGCTATGTGCATCGCATCGCATAGCGTAGCATAGCATAGCATAGCATAGCATAACATGTCAATAGCACTTATAAGATATCAATAGCACGCATAGCATAGCATAGCATAGCATAGCAGTAGCATAGCATAGCTACGTGCTATTTCATGTGCTATGTTTCGAT